GCAATGTAATGTCAAGTATAGTGATGCATGTCTGACCTAATGATACACACCCGCTGTCTCTCAGTCCGGGACCAATGGGGACATATCCGTCCATGCATCCATCGCGGCGCGCGATACGATCCTCGATAATAGTAACCATCGCGGCGCGCGATATATCCCTCGAAATATAGTATCCGTCGCGGCGCGCGACACGTCCCTTGAAATATAGTATCCATCGCGGCGCGCGATACGTCCCTCGAAATGGTACATCCTCTTTATTTTCTTATTCTTTCTCAATGCACATAACACTTGTCACAACCATGTCTCAGAACAATGCAAATGGCATGTTCACACAAATAATGAGGAGATGACCATTTTCATAACATTGCACAATTCACAACAAGACATCAGGATACAACATCAACAATGATTCAACAAGACTTTTAAACAATTGATCACATTGCCTTTTATTATCCCTTTTTCATCATTAGAATTAATCAATGTGGACAAGTCAATCCATCACCAAGCCTCATTACCCTAAACACATATTACAAAGAAATATATGAATTCCACACATTTAACAAGGGTTTAGAAATCCACTTGCCTTAAATTGTCGAACAATCACTCTCGGACTTGAGTCTTCCCTTTCATTGAACTTCCAAATCAAAGCAATCTATTCAAATAAATGACCAAAATAAGATTTCAAAACTAACAACACCATATCACTACAGGTCTAAGCCTAGACCCAAAAACCCACATCGATTCTATAATCAAAGTTATGCTAATCTTGATACCAACTAATATGTCAACTCTTTCAAGTTCTTTTCCAAATTTCAAGCCTAGGGTTTTGTCTCAATATCTCTAAATAACATAATTTTAATGATCTTTATATATCACAATACACCCACTATTTTATTACATATCTCAATTATTACCAAAACTTGATTTATAATATGATGTTGTACTACGAAATTTCAACTACGAAAGAACAAGCATGTCCAGAAATAAACTATATCAAGAGCCGAAGTTATGAGAACTTATATATGAAACTGAAACTGTTGTACAACAATCCAATCCTATATACATATATATATATATATATCATTGCCATCATTACCTAATGATTAAATCCTTCATCCTAATAACTAATTATTTATACCATAAGAGCACCACTTTGGCAATTCAGATTTCCAATACAAAATCATTTTATTTCTTTCCTAATACTAATCTCATTGCCAAGATACTATTAATTAATCATCGCCGACTTCCAGCCATTACTCCGTAGCACGCCACTTTTCATTTAATTTGACTAATATTAATTAATAATAATAACATTAAACTATAACATGCCGTAATAATGTAATGGTATCCATCATTCACAACAGATGGGATATAGAGTTAAGAATTTAGATAAGCTTGTACCTGAAATTACTTGCCGTAATGAGACTTTAGGTTTTCCATCCATGGCTGCTCTTGTTAATTCTTTTTCTTCTCCTCTGCGTATTTCATGTTTCAACAGTTAGGGCTTTTGGCCCTTATTTCTTATATTCATTTATTTATTTTTATATTTCTATTATTTTCTTTTTCAATTGTTATTAGAAACAAAATAATCTTTTATTAAATTTGAAAATCGTGTCTCTTATTCTACAAGCCATAAATTATTTATAAAAGCTACCAAAAAGGGGTAATATAAAAATAACGGTTAAAATCATAAAATAACTAAGAGGGTCGTTATACATAACCACCATCAAGAAAACTATATTATTTTACATTGTTTATTACATCTCAAGCAAGGTTTGTACTTATTAACCTTATATTTATAAGATTTTTTAATGTATGAGTGTATGCATGAGTGGTTTTCATGAGATTATTTACTATTTTAAACTAATTATTATTATAATTTTATTTTATGTATAGATAAAATGAATAATTTCATCATCAACAACAACAAGTTCAACAAGAAGAAAGTGGTGTTCATAATGGGAGCAACAGGAACGGGAAAATCTCGTCTCTCTGTTGACCTTGCCACCCATTTTCGAGAGAAATAATCAACTCGGACAAATGCAAGTTTATGAGGGACTTGAAATCGTGACCAACAAGATCACACACGCTGAGAAACAAGGTGTACGACACTATTTGCTAGGTATACATATTTGAAAAAGACATTTTTTTGTGATTCCTTTATTTTAATGTGAATATTAATTGGCAATTATTTTGTTTCACAATTTTTAATTTTTTAGGTGAAATTGAGCCAGATTCCAACTTCACGGCCGAAGATTTCTATCTGAAGTGCATTGAATACATAGAAAAAATTTGAAGACTCAATGTGTTCCAATTATTGTTGGAGGGTCAAATTCGTTTATTCAAAAACTTGTGGAAGACCCTGTATTCATGTTCAAACATAAGTATGACAGTTGCTTTATTTGGATTGATGTAGAGCAATCAGTCTTGAACCGTAGAGTTGACACGAGGGTTGATGAAATGGTCAATGCAGGTAGTTTTTGTAGTTATTTATATATGAATCAAAATATAATAATGACTCTAACTAAAACTTTTCTTATATAGTTTTCTTAATAATACTTTCGGTTTTCAAATATATGTTCACCTAAATAAAACTATTCTTAAATTTATGCTGCATGCAGGGCTGGTGGATGAGGTGCGGCAATTTTACATTCCAGATGCAGATTACACCAAAGGAATCCGACGGTCCATTGGTGTCCCTGAAATGGCCAAATATTTAAGGGAAGAAAAAAATATAGACGGAGATGATGAATCAAAGAAGATGATTCTTCAAGCTTCAATTTCAAGTATCAAGCGTAATACTCGTATATTAATTTGTAACCAACTTGACAAGATTCAACGATTAATAAATGAGAAAATGTGGTCGGTGCATCATATTATTGCTACTGACGTTTTCAAAGAAGATAGAAAAGAAGTTGTTGACGAAGCATGGAGGAATACTGTTTTGCAACCATGCCTAGATATTGTGGAAAGATTTCTCAAAAATGATGATCACAATATTAGTATTGAGTGTACATAAACTATCATTATCTCTATCTTGTGTTAGTTTTTCTCTTGGTCACTTTAATTTTTGACCTATTTTGTACCGTTTGTATCAAACTACAGATATATATATACTATTCTTATTTGTAAAATCATTGTTATTTATAGAGTATATATTTAAGCTTTATAAAAATATTTATTTTAAGGTCCGATCCAAGCCCAAGCGCCAAGTCCAAGTCCAAATCCAAGTCTTTGATATTTAATATATATTAATATAAATTCGTACTTACACAATTAAATGAGATCATTCTTAATGTCAAGATAATAGAGTGAAAAAATAAATGACTATAAAT